GTGCATTGAAAGTCTGCTTCACTGTTACCGACCGCGTCCACACACCCCTGCTTGGTCTTTTGTGATTAGCTCCACACGAAGCGCACTTGTGAACGTTAGTCGTGACTAGCTCCAGTCGAACGCATACTTGGGAACGCTTTCTGCTTCTGGCCTCGGGAACAACCAATCACAGGCCGACTCACACAGTCCCTCATGTGACGATTGTCGAGCAGGAATCACTTCAGACGCTGTCCACTCGCTTGCGGTTGTGCAGTCGTGCGACAGTCAATTTCCTTTTGCCCATTGTCCACTCAAGCCTCTACAGAATAAACTCTTCCTACCACTCTGGCATTCCATGACTTCTCCTCTCCCAAGGAACTGGGCCTAAGGATCGCAGCTTCAAGGGCTTAACTTATTTAACCCCCTGCGATGGGGCCCCATAATGGGGTTTCGATGGACGTCAGCGTACTCGATTGTCGAGCTATCATGTGTGCCTTTCTTCCTGTAAATAACGGGGCCTTCTTTTTTATTTCTTAAACAGAGAGCCTTACACAAAAATTTGAGGTAAAGCAATCAAGCGTGCGATATTGATTAAGATGTCTATCGTCTTAAGTACAGTGGACCTCCGGTTAACGAGTTTAACCCATTCCGGCACCGAGCTCGTCATGTGAAACATTCGACTTGCGAAACGTAACCAATCAAAATTCATCAATTCACTGATTGGCTTCATGCGACAGAGGACCCACGCACTCGATGTGAGACTCAACAGAGGACACAGGCACATACGCGCACTGACAGTTCGTTAACTGGACGCAAACTCGTCAATAGAAACACATTTTCTGCTGCACTTTTCTACTGTAATTGAAATTTTTGCAGCAATGACACCAAGATACGTGCATTCCTGCGTAAATGGAGGCATTTGAATGTAAAAGTTAACAAATTAGTTATTTTTTAATATGTTTAGGTAAAACATTACAATACTACATGGAGTGATACCATTTGTGAAATCGAATGTGATCTGAACAATAATTGTGAGTATATTACATCGTCAACAATTCGTGAAACTGTTTGTCTTTGGTAGGAATTACAAAGGAATTCGTGTAGCAGGGTTCAAGGATAGACCATCCTTGAACAGCGTAAGTAGTCCCAAAATGCGAAATTTTAGTCACACCGGTCTCGTCTGCTTGCGAATGTTTGAACTGTTTCAGTCGTTTCTGAAGACTCATGATAGTCAAATTCCCTGGTCAAAACTCGCGACACCTCTGGGGGCTGTATGTGCTGGAGGCTCTGATAGTACTGAGATTCATGATACCCTTCGTAGTCCAGCTCTTCATACTCATGTTCTAATCCATTCGTCTGGTAGTAGCCTATTTCCGATGCGTGTTGGTGATGGTTGTGTTGAGTTGACATGTACTGACTCTCTCTGTGACTAGAGAATTCGTAATGGTAGGCCATTTCCGTTTGAATAGTCTCGCAGTCGCTGTAGATTGGCTTGATAGTTGAAGCAATAAGACGACGATTTGCGTTGCTTGTACCCGGCCTAGTTAGAGGGACCCAACGTCGAGCGTTCAGCTCCGGCCTCATTTGAATCCAGCCAGCTTGACGAGCTGTGAGGAAACTGCACCAGTGGTGCACTGTGTATTCTTCGCTCTCGAAGGTCG